ATTGTCCCAAATACAGCTGATTGAGTACAATTGTAGGTGGCCACACGAAAACTGGAGAAACACGGAAGTTTGGTCTTTAGCTTCACTGGTCACTTGAAGAGATTCAAGCTTGTTGCTAGGATTGGTTCTCCTTAATGACCATTTAAACCTTGCTAGTACCTGACCCATGATCCAATGCTGTGGTATACCAGATTAATACGGCCAGATGGCATTCGTCAAAGTGCCCCTGAAAATAACCATCCATCACGAAAGCCTCCATAAATGGGCAAAGATTAACCACTAAGAGTGACAAGTAATAAAAAAGATTACTCTTTGTGTTGGTACTTTTCAGGGGAGGATAAAGTGGCGATACGAATCATGTGATGGTTTATAAATAATCTATCGGACAAAAATGTATGTCTTTAATCTAGGTCATACATATTTTTCATCTAAAATAACTGGATCTTTAATAACACTTGGATTAAGTGGTGCCCCAAATTTAAAGGCTCTAAATTAAAGAGTTAAAAACATCGTTTCGTAATATCATCGACTTAGCTAATATCACTCCCTGACTTGGCTCGCCGAGCACATAATTTGGACTATAATGGTACTGTCTGGGCAAGATTGATCTTCGTATCGGAAACTTTGCAGACATTTCGTTTTAAAAGTGTACGTTCTTCCTAATGTTGATTTGTACAATATATCGTTCTCCAATATCGCGTACTCCACGTTATGATTGCAGTAATGCCAAGTAGACAAGGTTTTCCTCTTCTGCAGACTGTGGCTTCATGAAGATTAAAATCAGACCACCTAGTTAGTATGGACAGTTTCAGGTATTTATGCTGAAAGGCACAGACATTTTTTCATTTGACTTCCCCCTTAAAATTCGAAGTCCAACATACCAAAATTCAGATAATATGCTTAAAATATACCTAAATCGTTTCCTTTATGTGAAGGGTTATACCTTTATAAATTGTTATAAAAAGTACTAAGTGACTGCATATGTATTTTTCTGTATATATCCCCAGACTCTATTACTTGTTGGGAGAATTTGATTATGATAGAATCAGCCTAGAGGGGAACGCGCTATGGAATTGGATCTTTACGACAATCGCAAGGTCAAATAAAAGTTATTCAGATAGCTTTAGCCCTATTCTAGAAGAACTGTGCTGATGCAATCACAGACATGATGATAATGATCCTACTAATTATAGTTGTTAGGGGGACTTTCAGTTCGCATGAAAGTGAATGAAGAAGAGATTCATTGGTCGATCTGACCAGATAAGGACGGATAAATCTCTTCTTCATTCACTTTAATGCGGACTGAAAGTCCCCCTAACAATATTATCTCAAGAGATTAATCCAAACCCAGTTTTTCTTAGTTATCGTTGGTTACTCCTTATTGTATAGCATAGAAAAAAACAAATGAAAGTAGACTTTCTGCTGCAGTGCTAATTCCTGTGATATATCGGCAAGTATCCGAAGTTGTTTTTTTTCAAACAATAAGGTGAAGCTATAAAGATTTAGTAATACTTCCATTTCGTTTGAAAATGCATGGTGAAGAGATCAGTAGATGATTCTCGTTGTACTAGCTTTAATACGGCGTTCAGTCTGAGGCAGTCCGTGAGACATGCTACCTCGTTTCGGACGAAGATGAGCTGGACTTTCATCCATCATAAGATGGAAATCATCAGAGCTGAAACTCAATTTTTTGAAAGGTCTCAAGTTATGACTAAGTCAAGAATATCGACATACGAATCTTTTCATCATACACTTAATACGAAATGGAAGTCTCCACAACAATTTTATCTCAGGAGATTCACCGAAACCCGCATTTTCTTCGTCTATACAAAATTTATGATATCGAGCGGAATACGAGGGAACTAGAAGTGGCCGGCAAGCCACTGACTACCTTGATATTAATCATTTCAGAGAAGCAAGGGCTGAATAATTTTTTGTGTCTTCATGTGTGGACATGAAATCGTGTAATGAATCAAAGCAGCAAGGGTTTGCAAAAGACAAATATCGGAATAATGCTGAAATTATATAGCAGATTGCAGTAAATATTAAATTTTTTCGTTCTCATTAAGCAAACTGGAGTAGAGTAGAGGGAGCCCTACAGGCTAGAGACTACTTGAAAGAGTTTCATAAACAATAGAGATGAGGTTCCAGAACTTTCAAGGAGCTTTACCTTCCTGGGGGAGAAGGAAGTATAGGAACATGGCATTTCGTTATTTAAGACATAACATACTGCAATAGAGCATATTTTCTTTCTCATTTTATCAGACTACTCTTTCATGAATATTAATTCCTTTTTTACCCTACTTGCTTTTAGCAACTATCTATATTACTGCCTCAACAGCATTGCGATTCAACTTGTTCGCTCATTAGCTTTTTTTATCTCTTTTAATCTTATTAATAATGTTTCCTTTTATGAAAAGTTAAGTTGGATATCGAGAATGTTCTTAGACTCTAATTATTAAGCTTGCTTCCATTTCAAGAAAAGGCGCTTGGTGAAGGGATTCGAAGTTTGATCCCTTTAAAGACGATGGCAGTTTCTCTTTGACCAGCCGTCGAATAGCTTTACGGGAAAATTTGTAATAAGGCTATTTCCAAGGAAATTTCCTTCAATTCCAACGAATACATATAAACCTTTCGATCGCCAAGTTAAGAAAATTTATTGGCTTGAATATGGTTGTAAGAGCGATAGCCTTCTCTAATGATGTCTGTCTTTTGACGAACGGAAGCTGTGCCCATTTTCACTGGAATCGAAGGACATTGCCTCGTAAACAGCCTCGACAAAAATGTTCAAATAAAACCAATTGACAGCTGACTAAGAGAAATCCGCCGTCTTATTCTGGTGGGATCTACCTTCGAATCAGTTCATCAAACATTTTAACTAAAAATGAAAGTAAGCGCAACAATATTCCCTTTTAGACTTTGTTACAGTGCTTAATATATTAAAAAGTGTGTTTACCCAATTTTGTTTAAGGTAATAAATGACTTACAGCTTAATTTTCGCACAGTTCCAGTCAATTTCATAAACCATTACTCGCTAAAAGGTATTCTCATCCAAGGTGGACTACGGTTTCAATCTTGCCTAACTCTCATCAACGAAGGTATTGAAAATGTAATGGAAACGGTAGGCCTAATTATATAATTGTGGAAAAATTCAACTATCGTCCTTTATCACCTTAAACTAAATAGAGTGCATACAATTCTTATTCGAGATCTACCGGTAGTCTCACAAACATATTAAAAAGTTAATATTATAATTTAGTGGATGTGATTGCAACTCATTCAAGTAAAATTTTGGACATATTCTTCATATTCAACATGGCCCTAATGCAAATAAACGCTTTCCCTAATTTCCTCCGGACGCTATTAAGGCTTAAAAAATGAGACGTACCCACTTTGACCACTGGCATCCACGATATCGCCGGCCCGGTCCAATGGGATCCTTAGATTCTTCGGCTGGATTATAGAAGGCAGGTCCGAGGCTGGTGTCGCGGTCTGGACCTGATTGTGCCTGCAACCAGCCATCAAGAGCCTCTTCGTAACCATAAGCCGATGACAGACTTGGGATGCTGGGCGCCTGGGGGCGGCGCACGAAACGAATCCAGGCCCGAGAATATGGAAACTGAAATAGGGCATAACGTTTTAGTTGAAACTGCACAATTAACGTGTGCTTCTCGAAAAGATACAGCCAAATTACTGTATGAAATTTTAACTGGGAGGTGAGAGGAGAATATTTATTTTTAAGCCTATGAGGAAAATTAGCCTCCTGAAACCAAAAGCTCCTTGGAATGGAAAGTAAACTCTAAACAGAAGGAGTTACACCATCCGGAGCAATAATTACGTACTCATATTATATATCTATATCTATATATATTTATCTATTTATAGAGTAAAGTGAAAATATGATTTATTTTGCTTAAATAAATCGTATTAAACTCAATATCTAATAGTGATAGGTAGTAGTATATTGATGAATTATTCCATACCGCAGAGTTCAGACATGAGAGAGATCTCCACAAGCTTATTAAGGAGACTCTAAGGGCCTGAATGAAAGCGCTAGCAAGTACTCTTTTCATAGCATAAATATGCTCCTATATAATACAATAATCAGACAAAGATGTTGAAGTGAATTTTCTATAATCAAACGTAAAAGGATTAGGATGGTGTGGCCTTGGTAACAGGTAGCCCGAAGAATTTATA